GGGCAAGAAAGCAGTATTTTGTTTTTCTTAATGAAACCTTAAACTCTGCAAAAACTGATGGCTTAGATTCCCATATTTGCAGTGGAAAATAAGTAGATTTTCAAGCCCATATTAAATCAATTTAAAAACAAAAACTGAAGGTGGCATTGTATTAAGTTACTGCTAGGTATGTGGTTTTAAAAATGTGAGATTTTTTTTCACAAGGGTTAACTGTGCAAGGTTTCATGACCAGTTAGCATTAACTTGGGCAGTTAACTTGACTCCACTACCAAAAGAGTCGGACCAGTGGGGACAAAAGTGGCAAAGATATATTCTAATGCCAAACTCTAAGTGTGATCTACAAGACTGTGGGCCCATGGCAGTGAATTTAACATTTTGTAAGATACAAGTTTTACTGAATATTTTCCTCTTCTAGGATCTGACATAGCTAGCTTTACAAAGGTGGCTTAAATCTGCTCGGTGGTCGGGAGCATCTGCATCTCAGTACAGAGTAGGACACTAATGTCACATTATACCCTGAATTGGAGTATAAAACCAGGCCTAGTATGAAAATATAAAATATAGAAAGATAAAAATGTCCTATCGAACCAAGTGCATTTCTGTCTGCACTTGACTCATAACTCAGCTAACCATATGCTTATAGTCTACTGACAATTGCCATTTAAATGTCAGTTTACAAGCAGATGTTGAGAACCCTCTTTTGTACCATTAATTTAATCACAGAAAAATAAAGTTTAGGATTTAACCCCGCTGCTGCCAACTGTGAGTCAGCCTAGGAGCAGATTCCTATACAATATTAATCATCAGGGCAAGTAGGATAATTGGAATGGACAAGGAGAATGTACATGATGTGACAATGACTATGGAGGTGGTTAATAGAAGATGGCATCAAAATAAAAATATGCATTGGAGCATCCTAGTGACTGTTATTTATAATTTCATTAGATGACTCCAGGTTCTGTGGATTGGCTGGCAGTGCCTAGTTGTAGTGTGGAAATAACATACTTTGACAACAAAGAAGAGGGGGAAAGAGCCATCAGGCACGTTCTGGTCTGTTCAACACTGGAACAAGCAAAACCTGTAGAAAATCCCTGTGTGCTCCCCCAGACTTTGGATCCTGCTAGCTGGAATGTATTTAAAATCACTCAGTAAAGATAGTAATGAATTTAATTTAGCATTCTATAGCTCAGGGGAATGTTTTGAGTCATAAAAAGTATAGTTAAGAGAAATGACTGCCAAACTCATTCTATTCTGTGCCAATGATGCATAGTTATGTCATTAGCTCTTAGGCATTAGGTTTGCTTTACTACAAAGACCATCCTTTATCACTTATGAAGATTAGATATTGTAGCTTCCCGAAAGAAGCTTTAATACTAACAATTATTTTAATTTAAACTTGCAACCATTTGTCAAGATTCGTACAATGAAATACACAATTTTTAAAAAGGAGGGTTACATTTTAAAACTAAATTACTAGCAGAATGGGCCACTTCTGGTTGGGACAAAGTGTTGTGTAGTTTGCTTAATGTTTAAATTTATTTGCTTTTCATCCAAGGATCTCAAAGCACTTGAGTTGCATGAGTTTTGGTAAGTTAGCTGAAATAACTGAGTCCAATGTTAAATGAATTATAAGTGCAGACACTCTTACTTAAAAGTTGGCATGTATTCACTAGTATGCGTTCAACCAGCTACCCCAAGGCCTCCAAGCCTCTGATCGCATGGCTTAATGCACTTTTAAGATTAAACCATGCACAATGATTCTAATGTTGTTGGAAATTTCAAGCATCAAGTGCTACAGTTTGTTGGACATCTGCATTACTTTGGTTTTTAAACAATACTCAGAGGATAAATCTGTGTCCTGAGCTAATGCCTTTTGTCATTTTAGTACAGTAATCTAGAGGAAAAATGAAACTTTTGGGGAGGTCGCAGATCAGGTGAAACATGTAGGGTTATAATACACAGCAGGTGACTGATCTGTGCGGGTAGAAGTCATAGGGAAAAGATGTATCAATTCTGGTATAAAATACAGTTTGTTTTACATGTGAGTTCATTTCACTGATCTTCATTAAAGTTCATACACAAATGTGTAAGTGCATTCTGCTTCCCTCCTTCACCCCGAGCTTGTATACAAGTTCAGAATGATTGCAGCAGTAACTCAGTCAAAATATTTAATACATTATATTAAGGCCTGAATGAGAATGTAAAGCTTTTCCTTGGAGGTATGAAGTAACTCTAAGTGTATCTGAACCAAATGCGAACAGCTAGAATAAACCATGATTTTTTTGTCAGCATGTTCATTCGCGTGGTGCTTCTCTGCTAAAACAATGACCTTTTTTTTTCCAAGTGTAAAAATGAATAATTACTTGTCCTTCTAAAAATGACAAAGTTTACAGAGAAATTACTCCCCTCCCCTAAAAAAGACTAACCTCCGTGGCACTGCAGAAGGGCACAAACAGCTCATTTTTCACTTGCTGTACACATGCCCAAATAGTCAATTCCCCCAGAACAGACATGTCTGAAGAATATAGGGAGGAATCTTACACACTTGGCAGTTTAGACTCAAAATAAAGGTCAATGTCAAAGGATGCAAGATAAACATTTGAAGACTCAGGGCATTATGTTAGAGCTTTAAAAATGGAACTAAAATACTGGTTTCAAAAGATTAGATCTTCACAGTAGACTCTCCTTCCTTGGTCTTTATATAATCTAGCAAGATAAAATAACTTGTAATTAAATCAAAAACACAAATTGATTTACTCTACAGTAAACAAGCTTTTGTAGTGTGATAAGAATTTGGTTGCAGATACTATGGTGATGAGGGCCATATAAGTACCTAGATTGCAGAGTGCAAAAATCAGCCCAATTACCTACCTTTGCTATTCTATAAAGGGTGCTAATTAAGTAAATGATCCATCAGAAAAGTTCTTACCCAGGACATTTGTTTTGCTTCTCTCTGCCATGCCTCTTTGACTGATATTTATAGTGCTGGCAGCAAAGAAAAATATTAAAGTCTGGAACTCTGCACAAAGCTCATGTTATGGCAAAGAAATGCAACATACATAGTGAAACAAAAATGTGAGGTGAGGGACATGCAGTACAAAAATGTTACAGGACATCTACAGAGAGAATGATGATGGAGGAGCGGGGTACTGAGATAGTAGAGAACAGAATGAAAGGTGATGTGCAGAGAAGCAAAAGATGAGGCCACACGGTCTCCTCTGGTCACTTACCTGATCAAGAAGGTTCCTACTTCTCCTTTTCCTAGCCTCTATAAATACAGTAATGTTGATGTCTGAGATACCAACCCTCCACCCCCAATCCTTCAGGGCAGCAGTGTCCTCTAAAATTAAATGTCATTAAAATGTTCTGGGGGAAAAAATTCTCAGAAAAGAGGGTTTTCAATTGATCAGTGTGGGTCAATGAGAGAAGAAATTTGTGGCAGTCCTTTTACAACAGAAGGGAAACTGGTCTCTCATTAAGAAAATGAATCTCTTTTTATTAAAGAATCTGGAAAAAATAAAATTAAAATGTGAAAACTGCAGTTCTTAGAACATTGAATACAGACACTGCTTGTTTTTGAGTCCTGGCACTTTCAAAGTGGTGAAAACCTTGTATCTTTTTCTTTACATTCATAATTTTGACTCCAGTAAAATACTGGTTTTCAAGCCAACAAATGTTATCTAATGCACTGTTTTAGAATTCCATGTCTCCCGAAAGTGATCTCATCCTTTCCATTCAATTATTCTCTTTTGCTTTCTATGTTTTAGCATTAACAAGAGGTGGGGTGTAGCTATGAAGCCAAATTTACTGAAAGGAATCAGCAGAATGCTTGTTTCTGTTGAGAAGCAGGTTGGATTTCAGAACTATAAAGTTAAAGGTAGAAAAAATCTGGTGAAATGTGCTGCCTTGCACTACAGAGCTCTACAGGACTATTCTAACTGTAGGGGAAGCAGACTCTGCTGCTACCATTAAGTGTTTTATACAAGGCACCTTCAATGAAAAGGGAAACGTATAGTGGAAACTGTAAAGCTTTGAATTTTTGGTATATTTTCTTGGAGTATTTCTATTTGAATTTGTTTCATCGTCAAATGAGAAGTTAGGATTCCCAGCATTTGTTTCCATATTAGCTAGAGGTTAGTAGTTTCAAAACTCAGACTGCATTCCCTTCTCTGCCTCAATACCCTTGTGCTACCACTGTGTGAAAAGTACTCCGATAGATTTGTTCAAATGCTACTGTCACAAGAGAGACTGCATTATTGCTGTTTCTCTGCTGAAAGCTTCTCCAAAAAGACCGAATCCTTAGATGTCTATTTAGGTAACATTTCCCTTTTTTTAAAAATGTGGATAACGTACAGTGATGCAGTGACACATTATATGTAAATATAGAATGATCAGATGCCATATTTTGGAACACATTTTGTATTATCTCAAACTGCTTACATTTCCGTCTTTCCTGTGCCATTACATTCATGAATTTAATTCCCAACATATATCTTCTTAATTACCCTAAAAAGATCCATACATACTTTACTTAAAAATATCTTCTGTAAGAGGAAAGTTACCAAAAATAATGCCTAATATACTATTATGCATACTTTCTTTTTTTGTGTGTGTGTGTAAAATACAAACAGTCTGATCTCTTCTGGGTATTGCCTGCACTAATATGGCTATATTTTTTTAAAAAGGAAGAAAAGGGAAAACACAAATGTAGGAACAAAAAAAATCCCATTCTTTCCGAAGATACAAATATCAGTGAGAGAACACCTGAAAATTAACAAGTGCCAACAGGTAGAAATAAATACAATCTTACACGATCTTTATCCAGTCATATACTTCAATGACCTTGAACTTGTTAAAATAGTTGCTACTGGCAGAAAAAGCTGTCAAGCAAAACACTGAAAAATCTGTACCATTTTCTACCCAGTAAGTGCAAAACTGAGAGACTAAATACTTTATGATTTGTTTCACATTTTTCTCTCTCTCTCCCCCTTTGCTCACAGGACTGATTGTTGCCACTCTGGCAATATGTTGGATGCCAAATCAGATTCGAAGGATCATGGCTGCTGCTAAACCTAAGCAGGACTGGACTGTGCCCTACTTCAGAGCATATATCACCCTTCTTCCCATTGCAGACACCTTCTTTTACTTCAGTTCTGTGGTAAACCCACTCCTGTACAACATCTCTTCTCAGCAGTTCCGAACCGTATTTGTACAGGTCCTCCGTTGCCATCTGACGATAGAACATGCCAACAAACAGAAGCTTCTGAGAGCCAATTTAAATTCTCGAACCAGCAGTAGCCGTTTTATGCGTCCATTGATCTTCATTTCAACTAAGCGCAATTCTTCTAGAAAGAGCCCTGTTTTCTTAAGTACTTTTCAGAATGAGACCAAACCTGACTGCAGTCCACAGAAATTGAATCTTGAATCACCGGAGAGCAACTTGGAAATAATGCCACTAGAGACTAATTTAGAGTCCAGTCCAGCTGCACAGAATGGCCTTCATGAACACGAAATGTGACTCCATGTAAGGCAAAGTTAGATGACTAGCAATAAACATAGCATGGAAATTAAAATAACTGAGGATCTAGAAACTGAACAATCAACTATATCTTCTTTAAGTGCTGTTTCTGATAGACTTGTTTCCAATTACACAAATGGAGCATGAGTTTTTGTGTGCCATTTGTTTTTTAAAGTGCACACTAGAAATTCAATCAGACAACTGAATTTATTAGTTGCTGACCAAAAGAAAAAAAACAGAGCGAGGAAGGCGATTCTTGGACCAAACTCTTCTTTAGCAGGATGGCAACAAAAGAACAGCAGGGTCTTTGAAGAATGTGGGACGTGGAACAAATAATGCCAGGACAAAAAAAATCCTTTAAGTTTAGCAATGCACTGACGATAAAAGAGCCAATTTTAAGAGCAAAAGAGTAGTTAATATGCCTGCCTTGGGCACTGTGCCAGAATTCCCCCTCTTCTTGGGCCGGGGTCCATTGCAGAGTGGAGTATTACAGCAGCTGATACAAACAGAATTCATTTTTCCTGGGGAACAGAAAGACTGGTATCCGGCAGAGGCTATTAGACAGGCTGCAGAGGATGCGCAGGACTTGCGATAGAGGATTCCTGTGACACAGAACAAAAGTTACTTAGCTTGATATGAACATGCTTTTGCTGTATGTTAGAATCCTGTTTGAAGATTCTGACAGCTAGTTGGGAATACTGGTTAAAATTTTCAAATCAATATGGGGATTTAGACTCATCACTTCCATAAGTTAGAATAACAGATGTGTGACTAAAATCCCTGCATTGCTATGAAAATAAAGCCATTGTTTTAGATTTTTTTTAATGTTGTACAATATGCATTTTAAAGCCATACATTTGACAACCAAAAATGTAATCCCTTGGAATGCCTGTTAAAAGGTTTGAAGCAGAAATCTAGTCAATTTCAAAAGGCACTTGAGTTTCAGATACTTTACCGGCCTGAGTCCCCTGGCACAATTTTTGTAGCTTTAGAATTACATTTTTTTTCAATGTTTTAAAAATGTTGCTCTTGCTTGTTGCCTTGTGGGGGAAAAAATATACGAAGATGGGTAACTCACTGACTTTGGGAGGGGAAAATGACTAAACACAACGTTCAATGCACAAGGAAAACCAACCAACAGATTTCTCTAATTTTGTTCAGTTCTAGTTATTTTAGGAGAGGGTAAAAACAATTTGAAGAGAAATTATCTTTTTTAAAGTTGAAGGTGTTCCTTTAAAAGCTAATATCTTGAACTGTTTTTAACTGAATAAAAAGCAGTACACTCTACATTCTGATGCACACAATCCTGTATTTTAAAAATTTTATTAGGTTGTAAAATAAACAGTTATTACCACTCAATACTTCAAGGGTCTTTCCTTTATGTGATATGACAGATTTGGATTTGGATAGGGCACATAATACAGCCATGAATCCTCGGTGTTTTTTTGCCCAATTTACCTGGGGGAAGGTTAGGGAGAGGAAGGGGTGGAAGTGTAGTAAATGCTTAGTTATATGCATTCAAGATTAATAAAAACCTCATTCCTCTATAGATATCTTAAGTAGGATTTTAAAAAGTGCTCATGTCAGTAGGAGCAAAGTGAGGCCACTGATGGGTGCTTTTTAAAATCCCACCCATAACCTTTTGATTTTTATGTTCAAGCTGATAGGCCAAGACTGTCAGTCTGAGAGGAAAGGGGATGCCCTAGCCAAAGAAAAAAATGCCCGGAACGCACATTCAGCTGCTTACTTCTTAGTTTCTTTACTCTGAAATAACATGCCAACCAGTACAGTGTGTTGGCTTCTAAGTAGGGCTGTTGATTAATCGCTGTTAACTCACATGATTAACTCAAAAAAAAAAAAAAAAAGTAAACACGATAAAAAAAATTAATCGCAATTAATCGCAGTTTTAATTGCGCTGTTAAACAATAAAATACCAACTGAAATTTATTAAATATTTTGGATTTTTTCAACATTTTCATATATATTGTATTCTGTGTTGTAATTCAGATCAAAGTGTACATTATTTTTTATTACAAATATTTGAACTGTAAAAATGATAAACGAAAGAAATAGTATTTTTCAATTCACGTCATACAAGTACTGTAGTGCAATCTTTGTCGTGAAAGTGCAACTTACAAATGTAGATTTTTTTTGTTACATAACTGCACACAAAAACAAAACAATGTAAATCTTCAGAGTCTACAAGTCCACTCAGTCCTACTACTTGTTCAGCCAATCGCTAAGACAAACAAGTTTGTTTACATTTACAGGAGATAATGCTGCCCGCTTCTTATTTACAATGGCACCAGAAAGTGAGAAAAGACATTTGCATGACACGTCTGTGGCCGGCATTGCAAGGTCTTTACCTGCCAGATATGATAAACACCCATATGCCCCTTCATGCTTCGGCCACCATTCCAGAGAACCTACTTCCATGCTGATAACACTCGTTAAAAAAAATGTGTTAATTAAATTTGTGACTGAACTCCTTGGGGGAGTGTCCCCTGCTCTGTTTTACCCACATTCTGCCATATATTTCATGTTATAGCAGTCTCGGATGATGACCCAGCACCTGTTGTTCATTTTAAGAACACTTTCACTGCAGATTTCACAAAATGCAAAGAAGGTACCAGTGTGGGATTTCTAAAGATAGTTACAGTACTCAACCCAAGATTTAAGAATCTGAAGTGCCTTCCAAAATCTGAGAGGGCCAAGGTGTAGAACATGCTTTCAGAAGTCTTAAAAGAGCAATACTCTGATGTGGAAACTACAGAACCCGAACCACCAAAAAAGAAAATCAACTTTCTGCTGGTGGAATCTGACTCAGATAATGAAAATGAACATGCGTCGGTCTGTACTGCTTTGGATTGTTATCGAGCAGAACCTGTCATCAGCATGGATGCATGTCCCCTGGAATGGTGGTTGAAGCATGAAGGGACATATGAATCTTTAGTGCATCTGGCATGTAAATATCATGCGACACTGGCTACAATAGTGCCATGCAAATGCGTGTACTCCCTTTCAGGTGATGCTGTAAACAAGAAGTGGGCAGCATTATTTCCTGCAAATGTAAACAAACTTGTTTGTCTTAGCAATTGGCTGAACAAGAAGTAGGACTGAGTGGACTTGCAGGCTCTAAAATTTTACACTGTTTTATTTTTGAATGCAGTTTTTTGTAAATAATTCTACATCTGTAAGTTCAACTTTCATGATAGAGATTGCACTACAGTACTTGTATTAGGTGAACTGAAAAATAGTTTTTTTTTACAGTGCAAATACTTGTAATCAAAAATAAAGTGAGCACTGTACACTTTGTATTCTGTGTTGTAATTGAAATCAATGTATTTGAAAATGTAGAAAACATTCAAAAATATTTATATAAATTGTTTAACAGTGCGATTAATCGCAATTAATTTTTTAATCGCTTGACAGCCCTACTTCTAACAATCTTTTTTAATATTATGCATTAATCAGTACAACTCAAAGCACTTTATAAAGGCAAGTAAGTATCCACATCCCCACTTTCCAGATGATGCACAGAGAGATGAAGCGACATGCTAAGGTTCACAGAGCAGGTCAATGACTGTCGGGGTTAGAATTCAGGTTTCCGAACTCGAGCTTTTGGTCCTATGCAGTTGACCATGCTGCTTCCCAGCACAGAAACTGAAGATTTCAAAGCTGTATCTCTGGGTTGTTGTTTAGCCTTGCCCACCCAAGGCTCCCTCAGTCAGGGCCGGCTCCAGGCACCAGCTTAACAAGCAGGTGCTTGTGGCGGCCAAGGGAGAGGGGCGGCGCCTGCAGCAATTCGGGGGCGGCAGGTCCCTCACTCCCTCTAGGAGCAAAGGACCTGCCGCTGAACTGCCGCCGCCGATCGCGGCTTTTTTTTTTTTGCTTGGGGCGGCAGAAATGCTGGAGCCGGCCCTGCCCTCAGTAATACTATAATGACAGAATGCTCAATATTAAGCTTTTGTGCTAACCATAATGTGCAGTTCTAAAGCATAAACCTTTATGTGTAACCTAATTAGCTGACAGGAAAGAACTTAAGTGATACTTAAAGTTAAGTACATACTTAATTCCTTTCAAGTCAGTGGTAGTTAAGTATAGTTTTAAAATTACATACATACATCTTTAACCCTCTCTAAATCCCGCCCCCTGTGGGTAGGTCACTAATAGTTGTGGGCAAGTTCCTTCTTAGGTGGATTGAGATAAGGATATGAGGAGTCACTAGAAGAATTATGTGCCATGAATCACAGCCCAACAAGGGCTCCTTGAGTCCGAGCACGAGTTTGGGGAGGAGGCCAAGGAGGTGGGTGTGTGGATAGCCAGCTATGATATGTAGGTCCACTGGCTAAGTCCCATGTGAATGGGGAAGAGAGAGCAGTGCACTAGTTTTACGGTCTAGTAGAGGCCTTAAGCAGTAATAGCTACCGCAGAACAAAGCCATCTTCCCCACCAATTGCTGTGAACCTCTCCAGTGCACAGTCGATTTGGTTTATGCCCCAGGGGAAATTATTTCTGATTCTCAGCAATATTGCTTGGAGAGGAAAAGCAGCTATTGGTCTTAATTTAATCAATTCCCTGCATGTTGCCCCAAAACTGGTACTGTTCTAGTGTAGTGGAACTTTCAAAATCGACACCAATATAAAGTTACCTAGAGAAAATTCTTCTTATTCTTATCCTGATCTTAATTAAATCAATGACCTGCTTGTAGCCAAGATTTCACCCACTATGTTGGATTCATCTTTGAATATTGATGCTGCCGTGGTATCTCACCTTAAGGACAGAAGTGCATCTTCCTTATTTTGGGTAAACTTTGTTTACAAGGGCTTTTTTTCCTTTCATATACGGATGTCAAAGTTTGCATGTGGGTGTGACCCTGGAAATAGATTATTCCTGTCCAGGAGCTCCAACAGGGTTACCCCTGGTAGGTTCATTATGCTAGCATCCCAATTTCTCTTTCTCTCTCTCTCTCTCTTTTTTTTTTTTTTAATGTCTGGTGCTTTGTCCACGTTTATTCTCCAGCATTTGAAGGGCACAAGCCCTGTCCCAGCCTTGCTACTTGCATGGCCATTGCTAGAGCTAGTTTTCTCTATTTCTTGAGAAATCACTGCTTTTGTATCAGCGTTAAATGAGAAAAGGCATGCTGAGTGTTTCCCATTTCTATTTTAGAAGATCAGACCTTGGTAATGAGTCCTTTCCCTCATCTGCAGGCTTCTGGCTCATCCAATCATCTATATTTAGAAGGTCTTCCATGTCAAGAACACTGAATCTTGATTTTTCCCTGCCTAACTATTAAGCTTCTAGAATGTTAGTAACAGAGGTGCATGATTTTGTTCTGTTTATATGTAGTTTTTCTTCTGCTGCTGAGCATTTTTCTTTGACAGAGATGATTCTCCCCATTCCACGTGATTTGCATCCACAGTAACTTATGGTTTAGGTATCTGACATGATGAAGCCTCCAAGTCATGTTCCTTTGACTGAAAGACTATGTTCATTGCTGTGAACAGTTTGTTCATGCCCTCAAATGTAAGCATCCTTATTTTCACCAGGGAACTCTGAAGACCTCAATCAGGAAGATCATATACGCCTACAGCCTTAACTT